ACACACAGCCTCGTTGTCTGAGCTGGCAGACAGGAGCTGTTTGTATCCAGGCTGACATACAAAGCATTTGTTTTCCAGTGGCTGCCAGCGGCCAGCCCCAGCTGGGGATAAGGGATGACTCATTCCAGGCTTACCAAGTGTGCATTTAATTGCAGTGGATACTGGGAATCAGGGAGAGACTTCTAACGTGAGTTTTTGGTTTTCCCTCATCTGTGGCAGCGAGTTTGGTGCACTTTGAGGACAGACATCCCAGGTTTTGTGTGTGGGAAAGCTCCAGAGAGCTCGGCTGTGCTGCTCTGGAGCCACTGGTGCTGCCTGCTAGAAGATACTTAGACTGCACAATTTTAATTAGTTAGTTGATCGTCCTAGTAAATCATAATGTGATGCAGGCTGGCAAGATCATCTAATTGCAGCCTTCAATCCCTGTGTTTACTTCAGGATCTGGGGAAGATCTCAGGCTGTGATATAAGACAGGCTCAAAACAAAGCAGACTCTGATTGTAGGTTTGCAGCCTCTCTCAAATGCAGTCAGCAGAGACCGTGAAAATCCCTGGCTCTCTGTGCAAGACCTCCATTTTACCTCAGTAAAATTGTGCGGGGAGGTGGTGTGCATCCAGGCTTTACTGCAGCAACAGATGTTCCAAGGGCCAGAGTCTGCTCTTGAACTCTTTCAAATCCAGAAGCAGTTGAGAATAGCCTACAAAAAAAGATGAAAATGAGACTCCTAGAGTTTCTGCTATGGAGCATCCCTCGCTTTTGTATGCCTGAGTGGCATTTATGTGGGACAGGACTCTCAGGTGAGGGAACCTTTGGTTTGCTCATTGTAAATGTGGCCTCCCCAGTGCACGCAGCTCCCTTAAAACTCGGTGTAGGTTGAAACTCAGTCTAAGTTCCAAATGGAGCAAATAAATGGAACAGGTCTGTCTCTCTGCCCCCTCCCTTCAGGAAGGTCTGGGCCAGGGGCTGGAGTGTTCGTCCACTGCTGTGGGATTTGGGCCCTGAAGTCCCACTGGGAGTTGCAGACTGTAATCCTCCCCTTTTTAGGAGGCATGCATGCCATACTATAGGAGGGAAAGTGCACGATCGCCATGGATTCTGTTTGAACGAGAGGTTCTATATAACATCTCTCATGTCCAGGGTTACCAGGAGAGCTTTTCAAGGCTGGAGGGTAAAGTCTCTGCTCTGAAGTGTCAGATATTGATGAGGAAGTGTGTGACTGATAAAGTACCTGGCCTGCATGACTAACCTGACTCTGTCAGCCACGACCCAGAAATCTTGTCCTCTCCTTATAGCTCTCCCTAGAATAAAAACAGAAACACATTTTTATGGTGATTCGGGCTTTGTTGTCTGCTTGTTTGTAAGGCGAGAGTGAACACAATCCTGGTCTGGTTTTGCATTTCTCCAGACTTTTTTTGCCAGGTTCTCCTTTGCTCTGCTGCTGGGAACAGCATGGGCTCATATCAGCTGTGGTTTTGGTTCCTCCCTGTGCTTCCACACCTGTGCTTATCCCTTGGTGTGCAGGATGTTCCCAGTAGTCCAGGGTGGCTTGCAGCGCTCAGCAGCAGCAGAACAAGTAAACCTGGTTCATCCTGGAGCTGCCTCAAGGGCTGGATAGAAAACTGAGGGCTTGGAAAACTGTGTCAGTCTCTGTGGGCAATGCTCAAGAGTATCAGATCAAGCACTTGAAAAGACAGCGTCCTTCCTGTTGCAATCTGCATTGCAGAAGCTAAAATCTGAATTAAGGTAGCAAAACTCTGACAGGAGGAGATGGGCTTGGCAACTGCAAGCCAGGCCCTCAGCAAGCCTGTGTGAGTTACCCAGACTGTGCCACTTGCCAGAGCCTCCCGTCCATCCCAGTGCACCCCCAAGTCACCAGGCTCTTGCTGCACAAGTCAGGGGAGCAGCAAACCCAGCCAGAAGGAGCTGATGGGTGTGAGCGGCTGCACTTGCTGGTTTTGGTATGGCTGAGGTTATGAGGAATGTGTCTGTGTGTGTGTGATGATAGAATATACCACACGGCCCACATCACAATTACAGCGTGTGTGTGAGAGGCTTGCAATCCACGAGGGCTGCAGGTGTGTCAAAAATATGTATAAATAAAATAAATAAAAATGTATGTGCTAGGAAGTGTCAAAAAGATAAGGGTTAGGCACAAATTTCAGAAGGAAAACTGGTTTTGCTGCTAATCTCATAACAGTTAAAATAAATAATTTCCTCAGAAGCAAAATTAAGTGCTTTTGCAGGCAAATGTGTCATTTCCTGGGATGTCACTGTCCCAAATCTGGAAGTCCAGCAGTGTTCTAACCCAAGAGCAAAGGCTGCTCTTACAAAAGCACCAGTTTTACTCCCAGCCTTTTCCAAGGACCCAGTAATTGCAGCATAGTTCTGCCCTGCAGTGAACTGCTTTCCTGCCAGCAATTAATTCGCCTCTGTGGGATGAATAAATTGAAGCTTGAACCAGTGAAATGTGATCACTACCCACTTACAAACCTTTCAGAAATGTCTCAATTCTCAGCTGAAATCAGGATGTCATAATTAGGTTATTATTTTATTAATTAAGCCTAGAGTATGAGGTACCCACAGTGTGTGTGAGTTCTCTGGTGGCAAGGACAGGTGTGAGCTATGCAGGGAAAGTAGAAGGGCAAAGCCTCTGGAAGAATTTTTCTTGTGTGTTACTGATTCATTTGGGTGTTTCCCAAGAGCTGCTCCTCCAGGAAACTGGGAGTGGGAAGGAGCTGCAGGTTCCCTGTAATGTGTTTTATGTCATGTGGGTGAGCTGGTGCCACAGATCCATAGAGGGAAGCAGACTGCAAACATCATGCATCAGCAGGAGACGAGTGGACAAGACTGGCCAGAGTGGAGATAAGACAGATGCTGGTGGAGTGTTTATTAGATCAAGCCCTTTTCTAGTTCCAGCTGCATTTTCAGCGTTGGGATGAAGCTACACTTGGTCCTGGAGAGGCTGTTTGATGTGTCTGTGTGCCCTGAGGCCACAGCTCCTGAAGGAAGCAGTGCAGGGCCTGGGTCCAGTCAGACCCTGTGGTGTGAGCAGGTCTGTCAGCAGTGGCAGGTGGCTGAGGAAGGGCAAGCACCATTCCTGTCTCAGGTGTCCAGAGATCCATGAGGTGCTGTGGGTGCACACAAAGAGACAGGGAACAGAACCCCACCCTCCCGTGTGCTGTTCCAGCCCTGCTGTGGGTGGCATTAAACATCCACGGGAGAAATGGCTGATAGTTACTAAACCACAGGGGTAGGATTGAGGATTTCTGTTCTGATCTGCCTGATGCTGTGCTGTGGGATTTCCTAATTCCTTCCCTTACATGCTTTTCCTGCCTTGCATAGACTCCAAGGAGCCGAGCACCTGGTGTTGCACAAACTGAGGGAGCCGCATCACAACCTCAGTAAGTCTGGCTTTTTATGTTTATTAAAGATATTCCCAGTGCATGGGACAGGACAATTTAACCATGTCCATGCTTTCCAGAGTGTGGGCCTTGTCTGTCTCCTCTCAGACACATCATCATGGTGCTGGAAAGGGAAGATGTGTCTCTGCTTGTTTCAGAGATCTGTAATTTTGGCACACAATTGTGCCTTGAGCCAGCAGCGCACCCACTGCATTCCCAGGCTGCACCCTGGAGGTGGAGCCACTCCTCACGGGAGTGTTTGCAGTTTATCATGGCTGGTGAGCACTTCCTTGGCTTCCAAAGGTAAAATAATTTGCCAAAATAGAGAAAAGAATTCACACTGAGAATCTGGAAAATTTGTATGGAGAAATTATGTGGTTCCCTGCATCGCACGGGTAGATTTAAATGGAAAAATAAACAAAAAAGTTGAATTAACCAGCCCCAAAATTCTGTAGGAATCTTTGCTTGTTCTATAAATATTTGTGCCAGGTTCAGCTAAAATATTTTACAGTGGAAGGAAAGGTTTATGGTTTCAGAGAAAGAATTCCCATGGAAGAGTCTTTCTAAGGGGAGGGTTTTATCGCTGTAGTTAAATTAGCCTTCAAAACCAGATTCTAATTATGTACTCTGGTTCTTGGTGTTTGGAGAAATGGTGATGAAACAGGGCTAAGAGCACCACTCTCGAATGAGAATCTAAATTAAAGAAAGCTGCCAGAACAACCTTTTCCCCCCCTTTTAATTTTTTATTTCTCTAACTGCAGCGGTTGGAACCACGAAACTTCTGGTTTTCCAAACAACTGTGACACGTGACCTCAGAACCCTTCATAAGCAAAAATATCCGAAAGGGCACATAACAACATATCACAGTTGCTGCAATCACAATTACAGGAAGAAGTATTTCTAAAGGAAGACGCTGCAGTCCATCTTAGCAGGAAATCCACCTGATGGGCCACTTGCCCTCTTGCTCAGGAAGGCATTACATGGATCAGGCTGCAGCTGGCAAGCTGCCAGCCTCGTCGTTTGGAGAGGGAACTGACTCGGGAAACACTGCTGCTGCTGGGACGTAGGATGGGAGCACAGGGCTTCCTTCCTTTTGTGCCACGGGGCAGGCCGTGGGGGAAAGGGGCTGCCATGAGCCCCTGTGGCAGGTGTTTTTCCCTCCTGCTGGCAGTGATGGGTGGGAAAGTGGAGCGGCACATCCCACTGGCTTCTGAAAAAGCAGGTGCATTGATTTGACTTATTTTTTTTTCTGTGTTGGTGGCAGTTGAACTGCATTGAAATGGGGCAGAATCCGCTCCCTGCGATGTTTAATTCAGTCTTAGAGGCTCTTCACGCTCCCTGCAAGTTTTCCCCCCAATAATCCTGCTGTAGAATTCCCCAGCTTGTTGGAGCGAGGGTCAGGAGGCTTCGGGCTGCGCCGGGCATCCTTGCAGGCAGGAACCACCCTCCGCTACTTTGGGATACCTTGTCCCGGCTGGGGTGAGCCGGGAGAGCATCCATCCCTCCATCCCTCCATCCCTCCATCCCTCCCTCCCCCGGGGGAGCGGCGGCTCCTCCCGGCGCTGGCGGGCGGGGCCCGGGGAGCGCCCGCCCCCGGAGCCCGAGCCCGGCGGAGCCTCGGCGGTCCCTGCTCGGCAGCAGCAGCAGCCATAGCCATAGCCATGAAGTCTCTGTGTCTCGTCACCGTGGGCGTCCTGGCCATGACGCTGCTCATCGCCAGCATCTCCTTGCTGGTGGCGCACGTCTTCCAGACGGTGGTGGATCTGCAGGTGAAGCAGGTAAAAGCGTTACCGCCTTCCCGTCTCGGTCCGTGTTTACAGGTTTATTCCTTCTGAAAACAGCCGAGGGAGGGAGGGAGGCGGCTGGCTCACTCCTTGCGGCAGCTGTGGGTGAGTGGGAAGGAGCATCCCTGGGCCGTGAACCCCCCCCGCCCAGCACCACCCGGCTCAGAATGCAGCTCAGGCTGTGGTGGTCCCTGGGCTGGGTAAAAATTGGGTGAGGGTGGGTAAAAATGCCTCTTCTTGAGGCAGCTCTGCTGGCTGTGGGGCAGCAGCTGTAGCGAGGAGCCCTCTCCAGGGCAGCAGCACCTGAGGGGAGCAGGGGGCACCTTTTTGCCATCTCTGCCATCAATTGCTTGCAGCTTTCATACTTGTTCTGCTGCTCCAGTTACTGGTGCCTCTGGAGTGGGGCCAGAGGTGCTGTGGGCTGGAACACGTGGTGTCTCCCAGTTCCCTGGGGTGGGTGATGGCAGTCAGGCATTTCACCGTGTTGTTTCACACCTGGGGACGCCCATCCTGGCCCTGCTGTGGATGCAGAGGCCTGCACTGTTCCTGCTCTGCCCAAGCTTTTGTTTCTCTGCCAGAGTGGCTCTGTGCATTTGTCCAGTGAGAAGGGCCAGCTGTGTTAGTAACTCTCTTGGAATCCCTTTGTAAATAAACAATTATTTATCTATCTGAGGAATGTCATCTTAATTCCTATTTGACAGAGAAACCAGGAATGCTAACCAACGAAGGGATTTGACCAGCGCTGTTGTCTAACTGGTGACCAGATCATCTGTGATCTCCTAACCTACTGTTCTTTGCTCTGGGCTGTTGTCAGGGAGCATTTCCTACCATGGAAACTGCATTGTCTAAACTTAAATCAGTTTGGTTTAACAAGAGTAATTTAAGGTTGGCAGTGAGCTTACAGCAGGTTGTGGCAGCTCCATCCCCCAGATCTTGTCTCTCCTTGGGAAAGAGTCTGCCCTCCTTCCCTTCTGCATCCCAGAAGTTCTACTTGCAAGTGTTCTCCATGCTGTTATTGGCAGAGCAGTGGGGTGAAAGCAGTGGTTTGGAGCAGGGCTGTCAGGAATTAGGCGTGATCCTCCTTACGCGCATTATCTCCTGGCTGCCTGCTCCTTCCCTGGAACGGAGCCTTACGTAAGAGCAAGTTGGTATTCGCTCAGCAGGGCTTGCAGTAATGCAGGATAAAGTTTCCAGAGCTCAGTCTTTTCCTGCCTGCTGCTCTCCAGCTCGTGCTGGCACACATCTGGATTGCAGGGAATGAGGTGTCCGGCTCCCTGCCAGAGCTGCCAACTCCCTGAGGGCCTTCTCCAGGAGCCACAACCCCCCCAGAGTGGGGAAGCACAGCTTTCAGCCCCAAAGCAGGGTGCTCCCAGTCACTCTGCTGATCTGGCTTCTTTCTACATTTGCTTTATCCCATGTGAGCTTCCCCTCGTTTGTGTGTAGCCTAGAAAGCTGCTGTCACTTGTGTAACCGCGTGTGTAGCTTAGAAAATCTTGTGCAAATAGACAAATCTCAATTTGCCTTTGAAATGGGGCAAGACCCGAGCTTTTGCAAGGAGTTCCTGTTCTTTTGAGGGCTTTCCAGCCGTCCTGAAATGGAGCTGCCTCGCAGTGAGGGCCTGTCATGGCAGTCTCGAGTGCAGCTGGAGTGCAAAGCCGTATTTCGGAACAGCTGAAGCGCCTGTGTCTCCAAGCCCAGCACCTGCGAACCGCTGAGGATGGCTCTGCTTTCACTGCTGTGTGCAGCAGCCTTCCCAGCCAAAGGCAGGATCTGGGATGTGGGAGGAGTGGGAATCCAACCTGCTGGCAGACCTCACATCCCCTTGAAAATCAGAGGGCAGATGTGTTGTGACAACAGCACTTGTCCCACAAGGCATTCAAATCTTGTCAACTTGTTCTTTATTTGCTGTTTTACTATATTTTTGTGAACTAAATATGCCATCCCAATCAGATGGCCAAAACCTGTTTGTTATCAGGGCCTAGCACCTGAAACTCTGGAAAGCAGTGGGAAAAAAAGCTATAATGAACAAAGATCAATCTTCCCCAGGAGAAAGGCATTCCCAGCTGCCAGTGGTATTGCCTGGTGCTCCCTGCTGGGTAGATACTGGTGTATTTATTGACACAGGAGTGCAGGTTATGAACACAACTTAGTGTTATATACATATTTATATATATGCACACACACACACAGTCAGTCTTGGGGACACGCTCCTAATTTCTAACTTGGAAGTCAGTCACTCTTTTGGCCTAGGTGTTTCCTTCAGGCCACATCCCTTACACTGAGAATTTTAGAAAACACTTCTTCAAACCCCTTGAGATTCCACTGCACTTGTCACCAGCCATCTCTTGAGCTGAGTTTTCAGGCCCTCAAGGACAAGGAAGATGTTTTCTCCTTGGATTTAGTTGATGCATTGATAATTTTTTTTGCTGTTGTTATTTAATGCAGAATACTGGAGGCTCTCAGGAGAGTTTAGTATGAAGGCCTAGCTGAAGAATCCACTGGGATGCTTCTTTGGGGCAGGGCATTCCCAAGGTGCAGGAATAGAGAGGTCTGTTCATGCTGGTCTGGACACTTAGCCCATCACCTTAACAAATTGCAGTTAAACTCTGTCGTAGATGAACACATAAAAGTGCCTCTTTGAATTAAAATGTTGAGGGGTTCCAGGAAATCTGGGGGGAAAAAAAATAAAGGAATTAAATGTTCTGTGTAGGTTTTTTCAGAAATGTTCAGTAGCATTTCCCACTCCCACCATCACTGCCAGTAGCAGTTATATTTGGGAGGGAAAGCTCCCTTTTTATCTCCTGTGTGTAAAGCGCAGTCAAGGCAAGGAAACAGCAGCAAATGAGAGAGCTGCAAGTTCAGGGCTGGCTGATAAATACAGTCCTCAGGAAGGATGCTTTGGAACACTGGAAATGAGCGTGGATTCCACATGGGAAGGAGAAGCACTGATGTCCTTGTAAATATCACGTGATAGACTGAAATATCCTGGAAACATTTGGTGAAAATCAGAAGAGCTTACCATGTTCCATGATTTGACAGGTTTTGGGAGTCTCTCTGAATGCAGCTCAGAAGTTTGTGAATCTGGGTTTGCTCTCACTGTACAGAGCTATAAACAGACACTTAATTCCTGTGGGAGATGCAAACTGTGCCACGCAGATCCAAGAAATAAATCTGGAATGAATATGACCACTCGTGTATACTGAGATGAGTCTCCTTGGCATAAATCATAAGAAAACAGGATCAAAAGCATCAGGCTGCGTAGGAAATGGTTGGGCTCGGTAGTTGCAGAGAAATGCTCCAAGCTCCTCAAGCGCGTCTGAAACAAATTAATTTTGGAGGTGTGCACAGAATACGTGGGGTTTAATGCTTTGGGGAAAGCAGTGCTGCAAGGGCAAAGTGCCACCAGCTGGGCTGGCTCTCACTGCCATTCAGCATTACTCCTGCCATGCCAAGCTCCTGCCAATAAGCTTGTCTTTGGAACAATCTTCCCTTTATCCCATCCTTGAAAACTCAGGTCTGCGTGGAGAGAAAGCAGCTCCTTAAGTGGGAAGGCCAAGAATGAGTCCTGAGGCAACTGTGGCTGATAAGACCCCGTGAACATTGACCACGAGCTGGCAGCTGTCCAGCCTGCCCTGCTTCTGAGCTTCCACTCACAATATTCCAGTTGTTTTCTCAGAAGAATAAAAAGAATGAGTGTTGATGAGATCCATTTAATTGCAAATCATTCCCCTCCTCCCTTTCTTCCGCCTACAGGTGATGTGCTTTTCAAAGACAGAGTTTTCTTTGTGTTTATTCCTGAAAATGCACTCTTTGAGCCAGATTGCTCTGTGTGACCACTGAAGCCGTTCCAGAGTTATAACTTCATGAAAAGCCTTGATTTTGGTGCTGGGGGTAGTTTCTTGTGCGGGGTGAATTTTATCCAAAAGGAGATAGTTACAAAGTGAGAGATGGAGACCTCTGTTACAGAGCTCTACATGACAGGTGTGGTTGTGACTTTCCATATGACATGTACATACTGATAAGGGCTATCACTGAGGTAAGGCAATCAGTGTTTCATTTCTTAAGTGCTTCTGTTATAAAATCATGGTTTATAGCTTGGTTGCAAAATAGACTGACAGACCATGGGTCTGGAGATGCACATGCTGACGTTGCTGTAGGGAAGAAATTAAAGACAGAGGGCAATCTTTCCCCTGTCCCAAGACCTTGGAAAGGCACAAATCCTAGAGTGCCTACGTGAAAGAAATTTGTCACTCACCGTTTTTCTCACAGGACACTGAAAAACAAAGTCTAATTGCACAGGAGACAGACTCTCACAGCTGTGTTGGAATCTGACTTTCTTGGGCAAAGAAATCATCGAGGCTGAGCTTCTTTTGGCCTCCCAACATGGAGTTGTACTTTTATCTGTAATGTTGGCACATTTTGTGATGTCTTGCACCAGGTGGGGTTTTTTACTGATGCAGGAAAGGAGACAGAATTGCTGAGTAATAGCTGATCAGTCTCCATTCTGAAAAATGTCAGGCAGACTTGCCTGTGGGGAGAAGCAGAACTACAAACCAACAATGCTGCCCCTGGCCTGTGGCCAGGAGAGCAGCTGCCTGGGCTGGTTGATACTGAGTGAGCTGCTTCAAGGTAAAGCAGATCTAGAACTGGAGTCTCCAGTCTTACTGCCCGTGCTTGTTCCCAAGGCACGGAATTCTTCTCTCTCCTGTCAGCATTAGCAGCTGATATGCCTTTCTCTTGTTTCAGGGAACAGTCCTGAAGAACGGCACGGAAACCTTTGAGGCCTGGGAGGACCCTCCCCCCCCAGTCTACATGCAGTTCTACTTCTTCAACGTGACAAATCCTTTGGAAGTGCTCCAAGGCGCTACTCCTCTCGTGGAGGAAATAGGACCCTACACCTACAGGTAGGCAGGACCCTTTCAGGAGTTCCACACTTGACAGAATCCACGATGTGTGGGGCACCCAGAAGGCTTGGGATGCTGTTCTAGGAGAAAACCTAGGTGTTGATGTGTGAGAGGGAAGGTTTATCCAGGGGAGCATGGATAACAGCCCACACAGACAGCGCTGACACTTGCAGCTGCTTTCAGATGAAGCCAGTGACTTCTGTCAGATTTGGGGTGAAGTTCTGCTGGTGTGCTGCTGTTCTTCACTGCTGAACACAGAGGAAGCTGATGCATCCTGGCCTGCTGTCTTGTGAGCTGGGTAATGTTTGGGAGGTTGGGGAGAGGAGTGTTGCACAAAAGTGTGACTTGTGCTCACTCAGGAATTGGTAAAACACGTGGCCAGAAAAACGCTTGAGTGGTTCTAAAAGGGTTTTCCTGAGCCAACCCTCACTGAAAAACCTGCTTGGGTTTTAAACCTCTCTGTCATTTTTACTGACAGATTTCCTAAGGCCACATGCAGAGTTAGATGTTGTCCAGCTCCTGGAGCTGTCCTGTGTGGCATGCAGGGATTTTCCAGTCACCTTCCAGATGAGTTTTCCTTTAGAGCCGTGTTCTGCTCAGCTGCCTGCAGCCGTGTAAACCAGGAGCAGGGCTGTGGCAGGAAGGGCTGTGGTCCTGGGAGTCCCAGCCTTATGAGGAACTCTATCACCACGGCAAAGAGGTGGATGCCTGTCTGTCAGCCTCACTTCTGGTCACACAGGCTCATCCAGGCTGGGCACTGGCTCAGTGCCAGAAGGAGTTGTCTTTACTTAATCATAATCTCTTGGTATGTGAAAAAATGCAGGAATGAAAGCAGGAGCCTTTGTGGGAGCCTTGGTTTCTGCATTATCTCTTGCTTTTCAGTTTCCTTTTCAGTGTTCTGTGTCAGGAAGATTAGCAGGACCAACTCCAGGGTTCACAGAGCTACAGGGAGCCACACAGGCTGACATTCAGTCCTCTTTGCCAGCTTCTTCTTTTCCTTTCCTTACTTAGCTCCAAGTCTCTCCTGGGTGTCACGGCAGCCCGGTTTGGGAAGCTGCACCTTGTCCATGAAGGAGCTGGGTGGATGGGGCTGGTGCTGCACTGCCTGGGCTGGTCCCTGCCCCAGGGGAGGCCCAGCCTGAGCTGCTGGTTTGCTGGGAGAGCCTTTCCCTGCATCCCACGCCACGGGCTGGCTGTGAGAGGGTCCCCGATGCCAGCCCTCCCTGCGGTGTTCTCGGCGGGGACAGGGAGGGAGGGAAAGAGGCTGCACATTCCAGTTGCTTCTGGCTTGTTTGCTTAGCCTGATTTTGGCATGTCAGGACAGGATTCCCCTTGTGCTCTGCTCTGCCTGATAGAGGAAGAAGGAAAAGTTAGGAAGTGGAGAGCTCTCTTCCAGCAGATTGCATAACCCTCGGCTGGCCGTGGCTGCAGCAGGCTGTCAGCGGTGGGTGGGGAGGAGAGGAGGCCTGTGGGAGCACAGGGAGCAGGGATGGATGTTCAGCCACACCACACGCTCCAGCCAGGGAAGAAACCTCCAGCTGGTTTCACAGGCCCTGTGGAGCAAAGCACTGAGGACTCATTTGGGTTTAGCACAGAACAGGGCAGAACAGCCAAAATGCCCTAACATGAAGCGTGTTCTCATAGAACAAGGTATTTGGGGAAAAGCTGGGAGTGAACTGGGCCAGACAAGCAGAGGGAAAAAATGCAGTCAGTGGCAGGGAGGAGGTAGGAGGGCTCAAGAGAGTCTCTTGCTGCAGCTCAGAGTTTTCATCAGCATACACTGCAAAGCACTTGAGGCAGATTCTGTAACAAAAACATAGTAGTGCCAATGGTTTTGAATCTGGGAAGTTGAACTGGCAGCATGTGAAATAAGGAATTACAAAGAGCAAGCTTTTTACCTGCCCAAGCCTGCTGAGTCCCAAAGAACACTGGAATATTGTCTGGTCTTGCAGGCATTTACTGCAATTCCTACTCATACCCCTCATTAGGGAATATTATTTTCCTCTCCAGAGCTCAAGAGGTGTCTCAGGTTACTCCTGTCCTATTTTAGGAAGGCATTTCACAGCTGTCCATTTCCATCCCTTCAGTTCCAGCCCTGAGGTATAAAATAGACTGCTGTCCAGGAGGGTCTTTCCAAGTCAAGCTGGAAGTGTTGCCAGACGAAAATGTTCCTGGGTGGCAGGGCTGCTGCTGAGGGGTAGAGACACTGTTTGAATAAGGAAGGTGGGAAGTGCCTGGTTTCTCATAACAGTAGCTTCACAAGGCCTTCCCAGATGGCTTTAAATGTGAAAGCTGAGCCAGAGTAATGCAGCCTGTTGTGAAGCTGCCCTGATGGATGCAGTGCAGCCAGGACAGAATCTCGATCTGAATGGAATGCAGATCATCAGAGCATGACACCTAGCAGAACAATTCTCCCTTACGTCTTCTGACTTGAAATTTGCCCGGGCAAATGTGAAAGTCACCAGCCTCCTGAATCACTGCAGGCTGAGCAAACAGGGGGAATGTCTCCTCCTGTGTATGCCAGGTGGTCAGCAGCCCTTTCCCTTTTGGGAGAGACACAGGTGTCAGCCCGTTCTGCACAACTGCAGAATCCAGGTTGGTCAAGTGCTAATGGCAATGGAGTCATGTTCCTGAGATGTGTTTCAGGGTAATGAGGATCTGACTTTCTCATGGAGCCAGCAGGTAGCATTTGATGTTCTTTGCCAATTGGACTGGTTTGTCAGCAATCCTGAGTTTTATCCTGTTGTCTGAATGCCTGGACAGGAACAGCAGCAACCTCCCTGGCCATGGGTAGTGAACAGCAAAAATTCAGTTGAATTTCTGTCGTGCCCAGGATTCCTGCTCGAGAATTAAAGGAGAAGAGCTAAATTGAGGTTTGTTCTGTAAGCCCTAGTGCCAAGTGCTCTGAAGCCAGCAGAAGGATTCTGGTGGGTCCTTAGGTCAGGTCCATGACAAACATGCAGCCTGCATCTTTCTGGGAGTGAATTTTGCCTGCAGCAGAGGCAAAAGTTTAATTTTCAAGCTAGACTTCAAGGGCAATCTCATTCATATAAAGTGCCTCTGAATCCTTCTGAGCCATCTGAAATTGCTGAACTTCCTTTGAGGTTTTTTTAAAGCAAGGCAAAAATACGAAGTGAAATTAAAGCGCAGGGTGGCGTTTTTGGAAATGCCCCATAAGGTCTGACTCAGCTCACACTGACACAGCTGGGAGTTTGTGTCAGTGCGAGAATCTACTTCCAAAGAACTGAAAATGCCACCCTTTATGTGCTTGAAGCAGTAGAACAGCCATGAGTTAATTGCAATGAATGCTCTGTCTACTTGTCTAACTTGATTAGAGAACAAACTCTTGCCTTTCAGGGAATACAGGCCAAGAGTGCACGTCCAGTTTTTGGACAACGGAACCAAAGTGTCTGCTCTAAACCCAAAGACTTACGTATTTGAACCTCAGAAGTCAGTGGGAGACCCTGAAGTGGACCTGATCAGGACAGTAAATATTCCTGCAGTGGTGAGTTCTCTTTCATTCCTGCTTGGAATTGCTCCTGACACACTTGAGAAGGAGCAGTGTGTTGCTTCATCCTGACTCTCCCTTTGTGGCAGATAAATGTGATGGAAGAACAGGAGAGGAGGCAGCTCGTGTCCTGGGCAGATGCTGGTCTCAGTTTGGGGCTGGACTGCTGTGGGGGGCTTATTTTGTTCCTCCCTCTCCTCACAGCTCTGCAGGGTTAGTGCCTTCCTCTGGTGCTACGAGATCACCCACTCTCCAGGGACAAGGGGAAATCAGGCTTGCTGGGCTTCCATGAGTCAGTGAAAGCAGGGAATTGGTGATGTCAAATGCCCAGGAGGAACTCCAGCTTCTGCCTGACAGAGTTAGGAATGCTTGAGGCTATTTTGTTCAAGTTGGAGAAGCTGCCTCCAAGTCTGCTTCTCAAACCAGAAACAAACTACAGTAGAGCAGTTCCAGACAGAGCTGGATGAAAAGGACCTCACCCCCAGACTGTGCTAGGTGAAAGAGAGTCTCGTGGTGATGACAGGCAGACCATTATTCTGGTCTCATACAGGGATAGCATGAGAAGAAGCAGATCCAAAGCTGTCACAGCTTCCAGAGGCAGTCAGGCTGTACTCAAATACCTGAGGGTGTGATTCAGCCTTTACTGTCCATCCTGGTTTAGTTGCAGTTGCAGGGTACCTTCATTTCAACTTTTTCCCCAGCATTTCCAAAAATGCCTGATTTTATGAACAAGTACAGAAGTGCCCTGTCTGTAGGAGTAGATAGGACTCAGGTTCCTGGAAGTTGCAGACAATACAGACACTGTGTTTTCAATTCCTCCCAGGCACCTCGTGGTGGTAAGGATTATCTCTCCTTCAGATTTTTGGCTGTGATGTACTGTGACAGGGAGTATGAGAAGAAGCACAGGTTGGTTAGCCCAAAGAAATGCCCTTCTTTTCTTATGACCTCTTGAAAGACCTGTTGTAAGCCCACTTGTCAGCTGGAAGGGAAACAAACCTTATTAGTGTTTGAATTGTGGGGAAATGAACGTGCAGTGCTGGAAAGCGTCTGTGTCTGGGTGCAGCTGATCATTTATTCCCCAGTAACTCTGACCATTGCTCCCTCATTCCAATGTCCTGGCAGACTGCCATGGAGTGGACCAGGTCAACCCCTATGCAGTTTGCCACAGAGGTGCTGCTGCTCCTGTACCAGGAGTCCCTGTTCACCGTCCGCAGCGTCCATGAGCTGCTGTGGGGCTACAGGGACAGGCTGCTGGCCACCATCCACGTCCTGCATCCTGAGATCGATCCCATCTTCGGCCTCTTCAACAAGGTAACTGCAAAAGGGGTGCTCCTTCTTCAGTTGAGCAGCATCTAGCCCCTGAATGGGAGGTATGGATAAGCTCTCCAAGGATAACCCCCTCCGCTCTTGCCCGTGCTCGCTTGAATGATGTGGGCTTTGTGGAGGCAATTGTGCAAAGCATTGGGAAAATGTCCTGATTTCCTTAGTAATTGACTGAAATTGGATGTTAGTTTTGTGCTGGAGCCATTCCTGGCTTGCACAGTGTTTCTGGTCGTTGCATGTCATTTTGGTCTGGGGGGAATCCTTGCTTCTTGGAGATGTCTGCAGTGCTGAGGTTATTTCTGTGGGGTTGTTTTCCTCCTGAGGGCTCTTTATTGAGGAGCAGCTCTGAAAGTGAGAAAAGCTTCATCTGGTGTTGTGTTTCCAGCCTTTGGGAGGTGTAAGGATATTGCCTGGTCACTTCCACCTCCTGTGTTCCTGTTCAAGGTGGAGTAGTTCAATGAGCTGCACAGATCTCAGGGGCAGTCCCTCACTCCTGGGGTGGATTTGGAGTGGTGACAGCTTCAACTCCTGCCACCCCATTGCAGTGACCAGCCAGGTGCCACAGGGTGAGCAGAGCCACTGAAAGCTTCTGCATCTGTTTGCAGATGAACGGAACCGACGATGGAGAGTACGTTTTCCTGAGCGGGGAAACAAACTACCTGAACTTCTCCAGGATTGTGGAGTGGAAAGGAAAAGAGTAAGTTTTTCAGTGTACTGTCGCCTCTGTCAGAATCTGCCCCTTACTTGCCTGGTGCCAGTTGAAGGAGAATGCAAGTGCAACTTAAACCCATTTCAGTCCCTTTCCTTGTTAGCAGAGCTGAGGCAGGAGAAACTGGCACTGTGCAGGTCTGATTCCAGTTTGCTTAGGGCAGGAGCTGCCATTGCCTGACTGCTGCTCAGAGGTCTTTTAGCCCTTGCTCTCTTTCCTTCCCTTTCTTCAGGTCCTTGAGCTGGTGGACAACAGAAGCATGTAACATGATCAATGGCACAGATGGGACATCCTTTCACCCACTGATCAGCAAAGATGAGAACATTTACATCTTTTCTTCCGATTTCTGCAGGTAAGGAGAAGACAGAGGCACTCGGCCTTCAGAGCAGAGCATTTATGTCCATCCCTCTCAAGGTGTAGTGTTAGGCTGGTGGTTCTTCTCCTGTGATTTCATGTAACAGTCGCAGTGTTCTGCCTTTATTCATGGTGGGAAGCATGAGAGTTACCCAAAAAAACCCTCCCAATCTGCAGTTAAGGATGTGTTATTTGAAAATGAAGATTTGTGAGGTGAAAATCTGGAAGAGAACTGCAAGGACAGGCTGGACTGCAAGGCTAGTAATGAGGGGAATGGAAGGATTTATATGAACTTTGCTTAAGCTTCTTTCCTCCAAAGTCTGCCCCGGTGCTGTGCTGTTTTAGAGAACCCAGGTTTTCCTCTTCAGAGATCCATGACTTTACATGACGCTGTCTGAAATGTACCAAGGAAATCTTGGCATTTCCTTCCTTACACAGCACCTTGTCTCCCCTCTCGCTGATTTCTCGGTGTGTGAAGAACAAAACCGATCTGCAATCGTGGAAATCGACACAGACGTGTGTTGGGCTACCTTCAGATGGTTCCGTCTTCCACCACCCTGTTCCTTCCCTGGTCCCTCTCTGCTTCCCTGCAGGTCCCTGTTCCTGGTGTACGACAGCTCGGGAGCCGTGGCCGGGGTGCCCACGTTCCGCTTTGTGCCCTCCTCCATGGTGTTTGCCAACACCTCGGTGAACCCGGCCAACGCCGGCTTCTGCGTGCCCGCCGGCAACTGCCCCGGCACCGGCGTGCTCAACGTCAGCGTCTGCAAGCAGGGTAGGGCCCGCCATGGGGGTCAGGGGCTCGGCCTGGGGACACTGGGGCTTTGTGGCTCCACAAGGGCCTCTTCCCTTCTCTGCTCAGAGCTCTCAGGTCCTCCAAGGCTTCCCCAGGTCCTTCTCGGCCTTTTCTGTTTTGCTGACGGCTCGGTGTTTTCGCATTCCAGGTGCTCCGATATTTCTGTCAGCTCCACATTTTTACCAGGCAGATCCAAAGTTTGTAGAGGACATAGAGGGCATGCATCCCAGAAAAGAATACCATGAGACATTTCTAGACATCAATCCTGTAAGTGCAACCTTTCCTCAAGGGTTCTGTAGGTGAATGGATCCAAGCACCTGGGTTTAGGTCACCTCCCTGGAATCCGTAGTGGTTCCGTGATGCTGGCTGGAATGGGAGATCCCTTTGGGCACTTGGGGTCAACTGTCCTGTCCCTGTCTCCCCTCCCAGTGTTTCTCACTGGCAGGGCAGTGTGAGAAACAGAAAAGTCCTGCAGCTGTGCAGGCACTGCTCAGCAAGCACTGGAGCATCCCTGTGCTACCCACACTGTTTTTGTCACAGTTCTAAAACACAGCCTGATACCAGCTCCTGTGGAGAAAATTACTTCTCTCCCAGCTAAAACCAGTACAGCAGTGATCTCTCCACCCCCACAGACAAATGTGGGTCGAGGAAAAGAGCACAGTCACCACCTGCCTGGTTTACAGAAACAGTGCTCTGACTCATCGGGCTGTTATGTGCAGCTAAAGCGGGAGCAAATTCCACAGCTCCTCTCCTAAGGTCCAGTGCAGATCCTGCTGTGTGGTGTGTACCAGGCTCTTCCTGCATTCTCACAGTTCTCATTCTTTCACCTTTACTGTCTTTTTTTTAACACTGATCTCTTTTATTCCCCAGCTGACAGGGCTCGTCTTGCAGGCAGCCAAGCGGATGCAGGTCAACGTTCACGTCCGAAAATTACCTGAATTTTTGTGAGTGTTCTTTGCTGCTGGGTGGAATCTCATATCTATGCTCACATTCAGCATGATTTTTCCTGCAGTGTTCTATGGGTTGGAGAGAGCCAAGTGTGAGAGAGAGAAGTCCAGTGGAATCTCAGTTCTAAGGGGCAGTATGCTCCCCTCTCACAGACCAAGCCGATTTGGTGGTTCCACCTGCAGAATAAAGAATGCTGTATGGTAGCTACTCCTCCTGATGTTTATTGGCACAGCTTGGCTGTAATAACTACAACAGAAGTAATTTATCTGCCCAGTCCCCTTGGGAGACCCAGTATTGTTCTTCAGGCTTGTTTCCCAGTGCTCAGGAGCTGTCACAGTAACACAACTCCTGCCTGAGCTGGGATTCCACATGTGCCAACTGTTGGGGGATTTTTGCTGCTGTGCCCATGTTGCTTGGACAATAGTTCCTGTGTTTTACAAACAGGAGTAACCTTCAACGTCAGCTTAGCTCAGTTCCTGCTGCCTGGCACAATTCTGTCACTCAGTTACTAATGAGCCCTGGATGGATCCCTGTCTTTCACTGCCCACCAAGTCCCAGAATAAGCCCTGCTCCAAATTTATCCGTCCGTGAGATCGAGATTGTCCTACTTCAGCAGGGATCTGAAAATCCACAGCAAAAAGGAACATCCCAGAGGTTTTTTAGGGACACTTTCCTCATGCATTGTTCTTGTATAATCTGTCTTCACAACCCTCAGGTGGAAGAGTTCCAAACCCATAATTTTTTTTTTCCACGCAGTGAAACCGGCAACATCCGAACGCTGATTTTCCCAGTGATGTATATAAATGAGGTAAATAGTTTTGCTATGTCTTTCCAGTACTGTGGCATGTTAATGCTTGCAAAAAATACCCTCTGAGCTAGCCAGAAAAGAAAATGCTGATTTTCTTGTTGTTTGTACAGAGTTAGGTAGGAAGCTGTTGCTGTTTCTTAACACCCTCCTCAGCCCTGCCAAACACTCTCAGTCAGACACTCCTTTTAAACTCAGAGGAGGTGGCCATGAGGAAAAGGGGTGCTCAGACAGAGGCAGGACTTGAGGATATCACACCTTCTTTTGAGTCATCTCTTGTGAATATTCCCATGCTGTAGCTGGATCACTGAATCAATTGGTATTAGTCCACTCCTAAACCAAAAGTTAAAAATCCCTGTTTTCCTTTGAAATACAGACTAGGTGATCCTTCTGCCCCCTGGAAGAATTCTAAGGGGGAAAGTATGTCAGGAAGCAGTGGGGGAGAGTTGTGGGACTGTTGTTTCCCTCCCCTTCACAAAAGTGATCTTACAGAAAGCAGAGAAATAAACTTTTAATTTTTCTTTTTTTTTTCTTTCTTCCTCTCTCTCTTCCAGAGTGTTCTGATTGATGAAGCATCTGCCAGCAAACTCAGGCACGTCCTGCTGGAAGCCAGTGTTGTGACTGGGATCCCCTTTGTAATCATGGCTCTGGGAATTGTGTTTGGGATTGTTTTCATTGTGCTGGTGTGCAGGTCCCAGGGGACAAGTGAAGAGGTAAGCAGCACCTGGATTTGGCTTTGCTTGCTGTCCATCTGCCTGCATTTGATTTGATTTTTTTTTTTTTTTTGGTGGTTGATTTTACCTTTCTGCACATGTTTTTATATTGTTTTTGTTGGGAATGACCTTTCTAGGGAGGGGAAGTTTTAATAGACTCAGAATAAACGCACCAAAGCAAAGGAGCGGAGTTAATCGCAGAAGCCTGGTAAGGCAGGTCCTGTCTTTGTGCCCCATTCCCTTGCCAACAGTAGTGAAATAAATCAGCCTGTCTAGAGGACCCTAAAGGATAAGATGCAAAAACTCCACCATATTTGAGGACAGATTTAGTTGGTGTCAGTGTTATCAGCAGAAGAACTGCGTTGTGCCAGTGGATTATTTTCCAGAATCATCATGCAAATTTGTGGCCAGAGAACAGATGAATTGCACAGACAGCAGCAGCAGGAAGTATTCTCCAGTACTGCCCATTTACCAGACAGCCTGGAAATCTGTTCATGAGAAGTTCTGTCCCCAGATGACATGCTGGCACTAAGGTGCCTGTCAGGATGAAAGCTGATGCCAGCATTTCACCACAACAGGGTTCAGATGACACCAAATGTGGAGCCTTTGGTTAGGGGAATAGCCTGGGTTCTCTAGGAGGCTGTTTTCTACTCATAGTTGCTGTGGGCTTAGTGTGGTCTCGTGGGTTTGGTGTTCCCTAAATGCTGTCTTAGAACTTCCCTCTGTACCTGGGGGATCCCTGTGGATCAGTGGGTCCTGTTGCCATCCCATGCCCATGGCACTGTACTTCAGTCTCCTTTTTCCTTTCCTTCTGAGCCGGCCTGTGTTGTCAGCAGCTCAGGGTGTCAACCCATCCCACTGCCCGAGGCCTGTCCTGGGAATTCCTGCCCCACCCTACATGCACAGCTACAAACCAGCTCTCTTGGATGTGCTGGAACACTCTACAGGGGTCCAAATGACAAAGGGACACCTGCATTCCGTGCTTTTCCTGCTTTGCTTTTTGTTGCTTTTCCTGCCAAACAGAGGTAACCAGGCAGCTTGCGGCTCTTGTGACCCCTGGGTGGTTCTGGCCTTCCCTCCTGTGTCAGGGGCTACAGCAGGTCCCTGCCCAAGCTGCCACCCACCCTCTGGTGCTTGCTTAGTGCAGCCCTGGCTCCCTTGGAGGGAATTGCCCTTACAAGTAGGAGCTTTTCCTTTCCCTGCTTGCAGTCTGGGCAGCACAGCTTCCCACAGTGCGAGGTCTCTGGTGGCCACCTTTAACTTGCCGCGGTTTTGTTCTTCCAGAGCACGGAAGAAGAGAGGTCCCCACTCATCAGGACTTCTTAGTAGATTTTCTTTACCCTGTGAGCTTGGAGAATAAACCATTAGAGCTGACCTAACACCAACTTGTCCCCAGTGGAGACACGGTCGTGTCCAGCGTCACTTTTGGTGGGACAGAAGTGGAAGGGAATCTGCACTGTCAGCCAGAGGAGGAGACTTTTTTCTCACCGGCTACGTTACAACTTTCAAACTCCATTTTAAAACTGCTCCAGATCCTGCTTTTCTCAACCCTGCCCTCTGCACCCACACTGGCAGCCACTGAGGATCGTAACCACTGGATGGGCGACCACAAGCCGGCCCCATTCCCTACGGGAGCGACGCGGGCGGCGTTTACAGGCTGCCCTGGGAGCGTGGACGGCCTCCTGGGAACACTGGGCTCCTGGACAGCCCCGGGAGCAGGACAGATGTGCCGTGGGCCGGGTGTGCCCCATCCCTGGCGTGTTGCGTGTCCAAGCTCCAGGCGGAACCGAGCCGGCGGCTGGAAGCGCTGTTCCATGCGGATCACCTAACTGTTCCCACTCTGCTTGTTATCCAGGCTTTCATCCTTCAGGTGTGGGTTTTGTTCTGCAGCTTCAGGCACCTGAGCTCAGCGTTGTTCTCGGGGTGCAGGGGACAAAGCCCCAGCGGGTGTTGTTGTGGGGGTTTGCACGTTTGGGATGAGAGCACACTCCCTCTGTGTTATGGACAGGGTCCTGCGAAGCCCTGACACTTTTTTACTTGTCAAGCAGAAACTTGTGTTCAAAGTCACAAAGGTTCCTCCCCCGCTTCCCGATTAAAAGAATATTCTCATCGAGGAATGTTTCCATGAGACATTGAAATGTGTTTTTAATGTGTGTAACTGTCTTCTAAAGCGGGGCATTGGGGTTGGCGCTGCTTGGGCTCGGTTTGGGAGCTTCTTCCCGGCTGCTGCTTTGGTTTCTTCCCTGTGAGGGTGGGGAGGCCCCTGAACGATTCCCCAGAGAAGCTGTGGCTGCTCCTGGATCCCTGGAAGTGTCCAAGGCCCGGCTGGACGGGGCTTGGAGCAGCCTGGGACAATGGAAGGTGTCCCTAGGATGTCCTGGGATGGAGCAAGATGTGCCCTAAGGTGCCTTCCCAACCAAACCCTCCTGGGATTCCGTGCTAGAACTGTCGCCCTTTCTCCCTGTTCCCCTCAGATGTTTTCTGGGCAGCTTCCTGGGAACAGCCCTGGGAGAACGCTGTGGGGCCTGGCTTTGCTCTGCTTTCCCCAGCCAGCACCGTGGGACACTGAGGGGGCAGGTGCCACAGGAATGCGGCCAGAGAGGGACACGTCCCCGGGCTGCTGCTCCCTCGTGGGAGGAAGCTCTTCCTCGTGGATGTGGGCTGTCTGTGGGAGCCGACGCTGGCAAGAAGCTGTGTTGTGTCCCTCGCTGGCTGCCCGCGGGGACACCCAGAGGGACGGGAGCACTGCGATCCCAGCTCTGGGGAATCCAGGGAATACCCCCCGAGCGGGCGCTGGAAGAGGACACCCACTGCTGGGGTGGGCGCCCAGCGACCTGGAGCTGAGACAGGTTTTCCTTCGCGCGAGCCTTTATAATCGCTGTTTAGCGCCAAGCAGGACATTTTTCCCCGCCGACACTCGGGGAAGAGCAGTTTGGCTTTATTCTAATTTATTGCCCTGCCTCTCTTGGGACATGAAGCCTTCCCCGCCCCGCCCCCGCCGCAGCCCGCAGTGGTACAGCCCGCCGGCGCGCGCTGATTGCGTCACCGCGCGTCGCCGCCGCCACCCGGAAGCGCTTTGGCGGCGGCGGAAAAGCGGCGCGTGCGACCGGTTTTGTTTGCGGCTGGCCTCGCCGCCGGGGCTCGTACGCGCCTCCGGCGGGAGCCTCCGCTCGCCGTCCCGCGATCGGCCCCATGGCCTTCAACTTCAGCGCCACGGCAGGAGCCGGGGCCGCCAACCCGACCGGTGAGCGCGGGGGGGCGGGCCGGGGGGAACCGAGCAGCGGGCAGCGCGTGCACATTCCCCCCCCCCCCCCCCCCCCCCCC